TGGGGCCAGCACCTCCTTCGCTCATTCGGGCAGGCAGAGAAAGAGAGAAGGCTTGTGAAAAGGAGCACCTTCGCCCTCGACTATTGCATGCCTCCTTTCTCCACCCACTGGAACTAGCAAAGAAGGTGGGCCACTAAACCGCCCACGCTCTCTCTCACATTCAAATCAGAGAAGAGGGAGCAACCCACCCCCGGTCTCTCTGTCTCACTCACTCACTTAATCACTCACTCTTAAAAGTACCTGGCAGTACCCTCAGAGGGCTTCGGACAGCTTTGGAGAGCTTCAGAGGGCAGTTTTTGCAGAAGCCCAGGCAAGTGAGAACAAGTTCACGCCATTACAAAGTCTCCGAGGCTGTAATTGTATGGGGTGTGCGCATGCACCTATGTTTTCCATGGGGTGGAGCCGTGGTGACCCTCTGCATGGCTGGCAATGACTCCGGACCCCATCTGCAGGGGATTTCGAGGAACGCGAGGGGGAGTCTAAAGTTCCAATGGTCTTAGCGATCCCTGTGAAAAGGTCATTCGAACCCCAAAGAGGTCACGACCCACAGGTTGAGAACCGCTGCTTTAGAGGCCAATGTATTATCAAGCATGTACTGTATATCCACCAATAGTTGTGGCTGCTAAAAACTGCCAGCCTTGCAAGGTCAAGACAAGAAGCACAACCAGAAGAACTAAGTTTACTTTATTATAAAGTTACATGAATAGAATCTTGGTAGACTGAAATTATTTCTCTCCTTGTTTCTTTTTCAGTCTCTGAGGAATGTGAAGAATTTCTTCTGAAATGCTGTGCATGCACCTATGGACTGAACTGCTTTATCAGACCATTACCCTGGCTGTGAGTCTGCCTCCTCATTCTCACATGCCATCACCCTTACTATCACTGGAGTCTTTTTTCTTATTTTTCATTAAAATTGCAATCTTTCTGTCCAAGAGATCTCTCTTAACAAGTTTGTTACTATCATCAAATGCTTTCTTGATAGACATTTCTCCCCATCAACGCCCATTCCTTGTCTGGATTCTTAGACTGAAGGTATATTCAGAAGTCAAGGTCTATTTAGATGAGAGAAAAATATCTAGACCTAAACTGAGAATGGGTGAGCTAGCAGATGAATCATAATCAGTTCTACAAAATTGGTTTGAAATGTAGCTTATTAATTAATGGAAAGTTACAAAAAAACCTTCACATAAAAACAATCCTATTTCTCCAACTCCCTATGTATTTATTAATTAAATTTATTTACCACTCATCTTGCTGTCATGCAACTTTGGGAAGCTTAAAATTTGACAAAACAATTGAAACTAACTTTAATTGATTAAATTATTAAAATAATAAGACAATTAATACATTTAAATGCATTAAACAAAATAGCTAAGATAGTGGCAGATATGCAATAGAGTGGAGGTTACTGGATCATAGAAGTAAGGATGGCACAATATATATATTTAATATAGATCCAATATACGAAGAATTGGTATTCGAAAACCTAGTTGCCCTTCAATACAGGCATTTTACAATGCCCTCTAATGCTACTGTGTTTCCCCGAAAATAAGACAGGGTCTTATTTTCTTTTGACACCCAAAATAAGCACTTGGTCTTATTTTCGGAAAGGTCTTATTATTTTTGAGGTGTAGGAGATGNCACAGAAGACAGTTTAAGGTTGAAGCTGTGGGGGTTTGAGGATGTAACAACAGAGTCCGGTAGAGCATTCCAGGCATTGACCACTCTGTTGCTGAAGTCGCATTTTCTGCAATCAAGTTTGGAGCAGTTTACCTTGAGTTTGTATCTATTGTTTGCCTGTGTATTATTGAGGTTGAAGCTGAAGTAGTCGTTGATAGGTAGGACCTTGTAGCAGACAATTTTGTGTACTATGCTTAGGTCAGACCATAGGCAGCATAGTTCCAGATTCTCCAAGTCCAAAATTTCGAGCTTGGTGGCGTAAGGGATTCTATTGTGAGCAGAGGAGTGGAGTACTCTTCTCATGAAATACTTCTGGACCTGCTCAATTGTATTAATGTCTGATATGCACTGCAGATATCCACGTAGATGAACTGTATTCAAGAATTGGTCTGGCAAAGTTTTTGTATGCCCTAATTAGCAGTACAATGTTACTGGAGAAGAAGCTTCTTTTTCTCTTTTTCTTTTTGCTGTTTATTGTTGTTGTTGTTGTTTTCTTTTTTTGCTGTTGTTGGATTACTCAAGGCTGTTTCAGAAGATGCTCCTTTATTCTGAAAGCCAAACACAAAAGACTTGCCATTGGTTGCTTTCCTGCATACATATATAATCAATGCTAGATCTTATATTTGAGACTGATTTTAACCGTGCTATTGTAATGTAGGTTCTGATGAGTCAATATGAAATGCTTCCATCCACCTCTGTTCATCTTTTGGCTGTATTGTTTAAATTATTAAAAAGGACTAGTTGTTTTAAATGGATAATTGTGCATTTGAAAGAATAGGGATTAACAAACAATTTCTGCCAGTGAATATACAGTATAAACAATACTGCAGCATAGCATAAGTAAGAGGCCTGTATTCCTGTTCAGAATTGTTCCACATGTCCCTATAGCAGCATGTTAATCTTCCTGACCTTCGCTTTAGAAAACTGGATTTATGATAAGATTACCTTTGTACTTCTTGCCACTTTTTGATTATGACCAAAGAGGAGCAGAATAATTAGGACTGTGATTTAAATAAAGGCCACTTGGTTACAATCTATCTTACCACCATTACAAAGCTAATTTAATTTTCTTGCTACGTTTTAACTAAAGATCCCAAGCTCAATGAAATGTTTTCTATCTATGTTAACTCAGATGACTTGCAAGCCTTACCTGCTCGATATTTAGAAGGAACTTATGGACACGCTTAGGAAGAAGAGAAGAGAAAGGGTGAAAAAGCCTGAGCTCACCTAAACGTACACTGTGGTTTTAAGAATCTAAATGGACACGTCCACCACGTAAAATTTTGGGTCACTGGGAAACTCCTTAAGTCTGAACCCATCTGAGTATTACAGAATTCCCCATGCTGAATGTTTCTGCTATTCCATCCAGTGATGTCCAAAGCTGAAGCAAATGCAAGTATTTCAATATCTCTTAAGGAAACATTTTCTTAATTTTAGAAAATAGTGTGTAAATAGTAGGCAAGGTCCAAGCTACTTATGTGACTAGGATGATAACCTGAAAACCATTGAGAAATCAACAATTCAGCAATTAGAAAGTCATGTGATGGAATGTGATGGACAACATGTGATGGAATGAACCCCTGTCAATTTGCCCGAGCTCCTACATCCTCCTCCAACTGCCAGACTAGCAGTTTGAAAGCATGCAAATGAAAATAGATAAATAGGTACTACATCAACGGGAAAAATAACAACAACATAAAAGAAGCCCCCTTGGGCATCCCCTGGGCAACAGTGATGTCATTGGCTAATCCTTTCAACCCAGAAGTGCCTTGGTAGATGTTTCTGACATGAATGTAGTATAATCTTTATTGTCATTGTACTTAAATACAATGAAATTGGTTAGTAGTTGTAGGTAAATATTAAATAAAGGGCTATCAATAACTCCCTGAAAACTTAACAGAACTGTATCAAATTTCCTGTACAGCTTTAATATAGCAGAACAAAGATCTTTGAAAAATTGATTAGGTATAACATGGGAATGAAAAGGAAAACAATGCCAGAATGCATTTCTATTGGACAATAGACATTCTTATAATCAAGAGTAGAGCTGCTATTAAGAAGCTAGAAATAATTCAATTGTCAATTTGTTGATCATCCCACCATCAAGAAAACATTTTTTAGAGTTTCTTTACCAAATTTAATTGAAAAGGGGCAAGATGCTAGCAGAAACTTAATAATAAATCTGTTCATTTTTTTAGAACTAAATATATCTTCTCAGTATTCTTTAGTAATACTATTTTCACAATACTTCACTGTGGGGAAATAGCATAAAATTTTAAAGATTTTTAGAAGGGAAATCATAAATTTCTAGAAAAAAAAATAACAAAATACTTTTCTGTCATGATTGTAAAGAAGACTTGTGTATAATTAAGCTCCGATTGATTGTCCCATGTCTGAAAGAAATTAGCTGTTTTTCTCTTTAATTTATTACAGATTTGTTTAATATTTTACACCTAATTGTTATCTATGACTTATCTAGTATTGGATGGATGGAGGGAGGGATGGAGTTGCCCTGAAACAGTTACCCTGACAGATATAGACATTCAATACTTCTTCATCATAGAATAGCACAGTTGGGAGGGACCTTGGAGGTCTTCTAGTCCAACCCCTGCTCAAGCAGTGAACCCTATACCATCCGGAAAAATGGTTGTGCAACACCTTTCAGTGATAGAGAACTCACAACTTCTATAACCAAGCCATTCATTGATTAAATCCATAAGGTAAATGCCCATTTTTCTATGTCTTACTGAAACTTTGCCAATATTTTTGGCATTCCACCT